TACTTTGCATTTTGTAAATTGATAAACATAAAACAATTACAATATATATTTTTGAAAGCATTCTTACTTTACAGCATTTTTCTAAAACTTTTGCTGTACTGTACTGTATATTCCTTCCATTTGGGAACCCTAGGAAAAAGGATAGGAGACAAGGCCTCTATGATAATGACCTGTTTTTTCCAAGATCTGGAGGTGTGAGGTTGCTGGATTTTCTTCATCAGCTTTGGGAGGGAAAGCCTGAACAGGATCCCTATTGAAACAGTTTTCATATGCAAAGGTCTTCAGAAAACTCCTTCCGGGAATGGAGGAAGCCCTGAAGCCCTGCTCTTAGCAGCGGGCTGTGGAAGTCAGAGTTGTGATAACTGTTTCAATAAAAGTTGGAAGGCAGGTCTAGGATGGGAAGTGGCCTAGGACTTTTCGAGAAATTTGGATCCAGACTACACAGGTCTGGAAGCATTGTGGATTCCCTTGGCTGCAAGTAGCTTCTCTCAGTTCAAAAGGAAAGGGGTGTCTGCTTTGCCCCCGTGTGTTTGCCATGGGATATCCTGAAGGACACCAGCTCTCAAGCAGGCAACGTTGAAGGGAAAAAAGATTAAATCAGGTGGGGAGCAGACTTGCTCCAGGGCTTTAGCCACCCTGACTAGCTCCCTGCTGCAGACTAGCGCAGGGATGTTGGCTGAGAAGTAGACTGCATGGAGCTTTCTGGCCCCAATCCTTATTCTGAAGCCAGTCTTCCACCAAGGGAGGAAAGCCCAGGGAAGGGCTGAAGACAGAGGAGTCCTGAGGTACCAGGGTGGCCTATCTTTTGAGGTCTATAAGCAAACAGTTTTCACTGGAATCTTTAAAGAGCCATGCTGCTGTCCCAGGAAAGAGAGCAGCCAAGGGATCTCTGGTAGATCACTAGCATAAACTCTCAAGGAATAACCCTCTCAATACTGGGCAGCCGGTTATTTGAAAGTTTGTTACTCAATGCCTCTGACCTTTCACTACATCTTCCTTACTGAACAGGTCAAGTGAGAGTTGATCCTTCATTACCCAGAAAAAACGGAGCAAGACCCAGTGGGCTCAACATCAGCCTCTGGCCTCCGCTAATGAGAGGAACCTTTTTCTCCAGCAGAAGACAACTGGAACAGAGATCTGCAAATTAGTTGGAGATGGAAACGAAGCATGCACATTCTGAAAGCATACAGGGAATTGGCTTGGATTTTCTTTTTAAGAGTGGAAAGAAAAGCTACTGAGGAAAGGGGAGATCTTTTAAGAGAGAAAACGTTTGTAGGACAAACAGATGAAACAAAAAACAGCAGTCTGTTCCAGACCAAAAGAGAAAAGAAAAAGGTAGCAGGTCTCATGACCCTGATTTCCAGGCCCGCGAATAGAACTAACTAGCTGGTTGCCTCCTTCATGAAGACCAACATACAATCCAAGGTTTCTTTCCAGCAGGTTAGACTTTCCCCTGCAAGGGTGCTTCCCCTTCCACGTAGACAGCAAAAGAAGTATTTCTCCTTCTCCCCATCTAAGAGGGACTGTGTCACCTGTTCCTCAGACAGATCAGTCCCCACTGTAAACAGTAGCAGAATCCTAAGGAAGTTCTCCAGCTGTACAAGAAAGCTGCAGGGACTAGTCCAGGCAGTCACCAAGAGTCAACACTGACTGGAAGGCACAGAAAAAGAAAATTCACCCCGCAATGACCAGATCTCATCACACTTTAAAATATTTCTTTGATGTGGCACAATGAGCTAGGGACCAAGGGAACTATGGGGTGGACACCCGCTCCCTGCCTGCCTCCTCTCGCTAGAAAGGGGCAGCCACTGAAGAGATTTTCTAAATTAATGGCCATGTCCCACAAGGCGAGACCATCTGTTACGAACACAGGCCAAGAGACAGCACAGTCCTAACACCCTGTTGGTGTGGCACACTACATCCGGCTCCTGGCGATGTCTTGGCTATAAGCCCTCACACAAACATTGCACAGATTTTCACAAGTACCAACATACATCACTCTGCTTGACAGGTCAAAGGTAATCTTTATACGTACTTTAGGAAGTCGTGCAAATAGTTCAACAGCAAGGCCAAGCTCTTCTCGTCAAGAGGCGTGTAAGCAAGCATTGCTCCAATCCTGACTGTTTCAGATACAAATGAAAAGAAAAGATACATCAAGGAAACATGTTTGCAGGCTTTTTAGGAGCAGCAATTCAAACTTCAGCTGAGGTAGTTCAGTACCCATAAGTGCTACTGAGGGGGAGACCCAGGGACGAGAGAGTGCTTGCTGAACAGGGGCTCCTGCCCCTGCGGAAAGCCGGCCTACTTCACCTAGTTCAGGCTAGAGGGTCGGGGTGCTGTACCGAGGAGCAGCTGGCCCCACCCTCCCCTCTTTCTCACATCCCCAGCCTTCCATTCCCTACCCAATTCCCATTCATCCCACTGTCACAGAGCTGCCTCCCAACTTCATCTCTATCAACTTTATCCACTTCATCTAAGCTGCCTCAAGAAGAGATGAGGAACGTTTCTGCTGGAAGAGTATCTCGAACTGCTCAAAACACAGCCCTTAACATTTCAGTCTTCCAGACTAACAGCACCAGGCCAATGGCACTGTCTACTCCAACTTTCCACTCATTTTCTGAAGGTAAGGAAAAAAAAGATGGAAGAAAGCACAGAGGAGTCACTAGCAGATGTCAGAACCATTTAGGCGGTTGCACAAGAAACCTTCTGTCACTGGAAGCCCTCTTTGGTTTTGACATACTGCTTTCCATCTTAGAGGAATCAAGAAACCTTACAGTCACCTTGATCAGGAAATAACCCCTCTCAGGGTTTATCTGATGCCACACTTTTCAAGAATAACAACTCTCAATTTTGCTACCACAGTTGCAGAGTGATTCTTTAAACCTTGACAGCTTTAAAAGAGGCCTAAAAATAATGCAAATACAAAGAAGACAGAGGCAATGGTGGATGTGAAAAAATGTACTGGCCAGAGGAGGGTTCCTCTGTAAAGATCTTTCAGCTTTTTTGGTGCATAAACTGTAATCCATACCGAACAACCGGAGGAGGTGTGGTGCTCCATAGACCTGGGACATTGGTGCATCAGGATGATCCGCTAAGATTTCTGCATACTGCGGCCGCTCAAATTTATACAACAGTTGGGTCCCCAGCATGACGTTGAAGTATTCTTTGATGCCTGCCACAACTTCATTAACAGCATATTCTCTGATGCCCAGCCAGAACAACAACAAAGATATTGTAAGAAACCACGAACCAGAGAGAGCTTTCCTGACCCCCAAGAGGTGTGTGCCCAAAGGATATGGCCAGTGACTTGATGGCAGGTGGCACTGCTGCAAATCACATGAGGGCAATGCCAAGATTAGCAGCCTTTTGTACAGTTGTCGGCCAGAGGGTGGGGAATGACAGCATTTTGCCTTAGGGCATTTGGTTTTCTCAAGGAATGGAAGAGCTTTAGGCTTTCATCAGAGGTGCTGGGGAGACACAGAAAGGATGCGTCACTCGAGAGAGGAAATTCATTCCTTCAGTTTCCCCAACCTCACAGCAGTTAAGCATCACAGTTGGCAAGCAGCGAAAATACAAAGAAACATTTGCATTTGGAAGGAAAGAGAGATCCAAGGGATATTACAGGGCTCTGGGCACAGACAGCCGGCCAACTGATTCCAGGGCAGCCTTCCGTTCAGCAGCCTGCGCTGGCCTAGACTGACTCCCTACAAAGCAAGAGCCCTTGGATCTGCCGGAGTTAAACAGCTCTGTAGCTGCCACGGCTCTTCCGGTGAACAGATCCAAGAGAGTGAGGCGGCCCCCCGAGTCAGGAGTCCACTGGATCGATGACTCGGGCTGCCCTTGCTGCCCTGCATTTAGCAGGGAGGGGAGCTGAAAATGGGTTGCAGTGTGGCAAAACATTCCACCCTGAGACTTTTGATAGTTGTGTGGTTTTAAGCAGCCTCCTCAGCATCTGGAGAGTCAGCATATTCCTGCTTCCCCAAAGCAAGGAGAAAGCTTCTATCTGCCCAGCCCTGAGCTGGGCCAGGAAGCTGAGCTTGTCATCAGCAGGCTGCCCTGCCCTTCAGCGCAGACCAGCTGCTCTAGTCTTTGCTCCTCACTTGTTATCCGTGTTTCCTCGGGACTTCTTGTAGTTTGCATAGTCCTCTAAAATGGAATCAACGTTCTTCTTGGCAGGAAGGTAGAAGAGCTGGGGGGAAAAAAAAAGCTAGAGACCATCAGAGGCTGATAAAAAAGGGCCATCCATCAACCCAGAAGGCTGGCCATCTTGGGTGCCTTTGCAACCAAGGATCTCAGGACATTTAAAACGTTGATAATAGGGCATTATCAAGCTGAAACAGCACTGCAAACAATTTGAAGGAGCCAGCCGATCAAGGGCACAATTGCAAACTCACCTGCTTTTGGCGGGTAATCAAATCCCAGTCATCTACAAGCCATGGTTTCAGCTCTTCTGGTATTTTTACCTTTACTTCGACTCTGTTCATAAACGTTTCTTCCTGGAGAAACAGAAATGCAAACTTTAAATGCTGGGATACTAAATTTGAGTTGAGTGGAACTCTGTGCATAAGCCTCCCAAAACTAAGCAGTCACGAAGGGCCACGTGCTATCTTGGACCTAGAAGGGTAACTAAGATCTCAGCTGATGCACAAGGTTTTGCTACAAAATCCAAGTGTGTGTCTTTTAGAGAGGTACAAGAACTGTCCCTGCTAATATGCAAAAGGCAACAGGGCAGGGAACCCACAGAGGAAGCTATATTGAGAACCCACCAGGGAAAGAGAAAGTAACCAGCAGAACAAAGAATCAAGTCATGCATTTCTTGGGGTTCCCCCCAGAGGTGATCTGAGGGTGCAAAAATTGGCCATATGTCCTTTCTGGCAGTTAATTCAGAGAACCTCAGCTTAGAGAAGAAAATGGTGAACAGCTCAGCAAGGGGAGCCTGGTTGACCCCCCCCGAAACCGTTTCCTGGGCTCTGCAAGCAAAGGGCACAGCAGCCTCCCAGTGGATCATATGCAGCTGGGCATGGCTGCATCCCGAGGAAGGGAACCCAGGAGTCCAAAGACCTACACTTTCAACTGTAGGATCCACTCGAGCTCTTTTCTTCCTGGGAGGCTGAGGGTTTTCATTGGAACTGCTTCCTTCGCCAACTCCTGGAGCTAAACACACAAACAGAATTAAGGTGGTATTTTAAGCTAAGGATTTTCAAAAACTGCACTCCCCCTCATGCCGCTTTAGAGCAGAAACAAATGTCACAGACCTGAAAGACTGCCCTGCCCATTACATAACCCCTTTAAAAACATTTACCAAAAAAACCTCCATACAAAACTGTTTTCTTCTCCATTATTCAATATTGTTAAGAACTGCAAAGGCGTTTTTTTAAATGTGCAAGGTTTGGATTAGTAGGGACTGGAAATCTTTTGACCCAACCAATACTCTCAACCTTTCTCATATATGTGAAACAATGCCTCTGCCAAAATTATGATCAAACAGAATGCCTTCAAGTTCAACCTTTTCTCCAAAACTATTACTTTTAAGAGAAGACGTCAATATATTTAAAGTTGATCATTTAAATCTTAAATGAACTAGGATTTGAGGGCTATCAACATTTTTAACTGAGTGTATCTTTTCCCCACCTCCAGATGCACTGAGTTAAAACTGTAATTTCCAGCTAGTACTGCCACCGGCTGAAAATGAACAATTCTACAGGTAGTCCTCAACTTACAACCATTCGGTCAACAACCATTCCAAGTTATGACAGCACTGAATGAATGGTGGTTATGACCAATCCTCAGAGTTCCAGCCATCCAGGACCCCCACAGTCACATGATCGCAATCTGGGTGCTTGGCAACCCATTTGCACTTACAACCAGTTGTCAAGCACCCCGCGATCATGTGATCGCCATTTGTGACAAGTCGCCCCATTGTGAAAGTCAATGGGGAAGCCAGCAGGGAAGGTCGCAAATTATTGGGAGAAGTCTCCCCACCCACACACCCTCCCCTAGCTCCTCTGCGCTCACACTGCACTGGACACTTGCACACCCCCATGCACCCTCTCCTACTTGCACAGCACTTCTCACACCCCCTCACTGTACCCCTGCACACCTTCCCCGACCCACACGGTGCCTCTCACGCACCCCCTCGCACCCTCCCCCACCCGGCAGCAGCCACTTACCTGCCTGCGAGCTTAGGGCTTACAACTTCTTGCTGGCTTCCCTACTGATTTCAGTTGTGGGAAGCTGGCAAGAAGATGCCTCGCCTAATGACTATGGGATTTGGTTAACAACACCAATCAGGAATGCAGGGATTGCTTTCACTAAGCAATGCAGTTGTGCTTTACGACCGCATCGCTTAGCAATGGAAATTCCGGTCCCAATTGCTGTCATAAGTCGAGGACTACCTGTATAGTTCATAACATGGCTATCCCCCAATTAGTAACAGTTTTGATCGCTTACCAATCCGTCCTTTAAAAAGATACCGTAATAGGAGCGTTTCAAGCCCAATCAGGAAATGTGTAAAGGAACAACACCTACCTTGCATAACTTGGAAGGAAGCTAAGCTATTTCTTAATGCTTATTTATTAGACATGTAGTATGAAGGCCTTTAGCACATGAATTGTAACGTATTTAATATGTTAAACTGTAGTACCAAGAATTACCATATACACTCACAGATAACCCCATCTGCAGATAAGCCTAACCCAAAATTCTTTGTTGGGTCCAGCACAGAAATGCACAAAGTGTGCCCCAGGAGCCACTTCCCACTATTGTGTGGCCTCAGAGGGCCCCCTCCACCAAGTGAAGAGGACCAAAAATTCTAAATTACCTAGGGGGAGAGAGTTTGAGGAGTTTAAGGGGCAAATGGAATGCGTGAAACCTTAAAACATGACCCCACTTGAGCTAATGGCCTGGCAGATTCGCTGCGAGAGCTAGTGTGCAGGTGATGGGTTAAACTGGTACCAGGAAGACCCTGATTCCACCCACACCTACAGAAGTTCAGTGGGTGACTTTGGCCCAATTGCTCTCTGCTCAAATTATCTACTTCACAGGACTGTGGTTGTAGGGAAAAATTGGGGGAGGGAGTATTACATACACCACCTTGAGCGCCTACAGGAAAGGCAGGATATTAATCTAACAAATAAATATTCTCTGTGCAGCAAACATGCATGATGTTTTTATTTGAGATTGAAATTCGGAAATTTAATTTGGGGGTTATTATTATGGGCAAGTTGCTAAGTTATTTCCACCTTTTTCAAAATCCTTTTTTGGAATGTTGACTAAAATATTCAAAAGCCATACAAAACAGTTCTTACTTTTCTGTTTGTTCTTTTTGGTTTTCCTGCCAAAGAGAAAAAGAGAACTGTTACTGCACGTGCAAAGCAGTTCCACTGTTTTTATTTCCTTTTTCTTGTTTTCCCACAACTCTTCAATCAGTCAGCATCAGTCACTTCAACTAACTCTAGAACATCATGCTGGACCACCACTTTCCAAAGCCACTGAAGCCCACGTTTTAAAAAATGCCATCAAAGTAGGATAAAGTTTGTACAACCGATGTTTGAAGAAGATGGATTCTCAGCATTGCTAGAACAAGAAGTATTTATTTATTTATTTTTATTTATTTATTTATTTTCAGACTTGTATGCTGCCCATCTCCCCCAACGGGTGACTCTGGGCGGCTCGCAATAATAAAAAAGAAGAAGAAACACAGGTCTCTCCAAACATGGATACAATCTATAAATAATTAAAAAACATATATTAAAA